GGGCTGCCAGCGTGTGGCCGGGCGGGAGAAGGGGCAGCAGCCTCGTGTTTTGTGTTTAGATGAGGTATTTTTTGCCGTCAGATGTATTTTATCTTATTCTGCATCCGGCTGAATCATGTCACGCTTCGCGCAGTGCCGTTTCGCGCCTACCTGAGTGTGAATGTCGTAGACAATTTTCACGAGTTTAAAAAAAAAACAACTTCGAGGTTAAGCGTTTTAAAATTCTTAAATATGCTTTTGCTATCTCAAGAGTTGCGTTTGATTATTCTCGCTGCTGGCAGTCGGTGAGGTTTTCTGTGCGCGTTGGTTTCCCTCTGTGTAGCGCACGCGTGCGTTTCCCTGTCCTGCAGGAACTGCTCACTGGCTTCATTTTCCTGGTTTTAATGTTGAAAATCAGAGGTATTGCTGCTTTTAGGATACGTTCGGTTTGCAAAGGATGCTAATTTTTCTGTTTCACACTGAGCCAAGTACCTGTCTTTCCTGTCTTCCTCTTTTCCTTTTTTTTTTCTAAAGTACAGTTAGATGACAATGAAAGACATCATGATATTTCAGAGGAGTTTAGCGATGTATTTTTGACAAAAATGGAATGCTTGTTGGAAATCTGCGCCGTGACTCTGCGAGGTTGCCTGACTCTCGCCTGGGAAGCAGCGTGGACTGGGGCATGGATGTTTTTGATCTGCTCTTGTTCTTTGTAGAGCTGGAGAAGGAGCGAAACCGGGGCATTGGGAAACCGCTGCTAGGAGGGCCCTTCTCACTCCTCAGCCATGAGGGACAGCCCAAGACCAGCAAGGACTACATCGGCCAGTGGGTGCTGATCTACTTTGGCTTCACACACTGCCCTGACATCTGTCCTGATGAACTGGAGAAAATGATCGAAGTGGTGGATGAAATTGGTATGGGAATTCAATTGACGTAGTGGTCCTTTTTATGGGAGGTCCAGGTTTATTGTGGTAAAATGTTGCAAATGGTAGTGAGTGATGATTGTTTTTAAAAAATGCTGTTGACTACTATTCAGGAGTTAATGATAAATACATCAGTGTTACATACATCAATCTGCCTATCACTAGGATCGGATATTTAGAGCATAACAGCACTGGTCTTTCTGCAGCAGGGGACTTCATGGTAATAAAATGTGGTGGTGGCAGGTTACAGGGAATGGTGCCATTGCATTGTATTTTTGCCAAGCAGAGGTTGTGGGGTTTATTAGGGTTTTTTCCCCTCTATTTTATTCGTTCTGAGAAAAAATCCGTGTGAGAGTCTCTTCTGAGAGTGACTGTGCTGTGGAATGGAGGCTGGGGGAAGGATGTGTGGCAGAGGTTGTTTTCTCAGCC